CGCACAACGTTGGACAATGGACAGTATTCGATGACGCGATCATACAAAATAAGACAGTACGCGGTAGTATTTGCTGGCACGTTTTCTTTGCAATCAAATTCTATTCGCACATCTACGGTGGCGCTCTTGATTGATTCGTTCTGTCGCGAACAATCGATGACTACAAACGGCCCATGCAACAAAAAGTTGTCCGTGTTGCAAAGCGTTTCGCAACAGTCGTATCCGTAATAAGCTTTACGAAAACGTGCATACATTTCAAAAAGAATACCATATCTGTTTCTATCAAAATCAAGATTCAAGTCATCATATGGATAAAAGTCACAGTTTAGATAAAGTTTCACGTTGGTCAATTTACATGCATCGAAATTGCTCGCATCTTCAGACATGATATTCTTTCAACCAGTCTGCAGTGCAAAAATAACGTATCTCGGTTTCTCCAGCTGAGTCGCAGTTTTAACGGCCCACGAATGTTTTGTCGTACTTTGCAACAAAGGGTACTCGTACAGGTCCCACGAACGAAAACTCATGCTTAGGTATTGCCCGCTTTCCAAAATTCGCAACCACGATAGTTTATTAGTATCATTCAGTACGACGTGAGGCATTCGCCACTGTATCTTTAATAATTCGACCACCGGTTCCAGCGTGGAATCTCCAACGATGCAATTACTATCACTGCGCGCGCGTATAAGAATGAGTTCGTGACGAGCGTTGATTACTATACGCCTGTAATCTTCCCAAAAACCCAACAGCATGTTGAGCGGTACACAAAAGTTAAAGTAACCTATCGGTATGTTTGACTGTGTGATCCATCCAGCATTCCGTAAAATTAGCGATTTGTCAAATGTTAGGGAAACAAAATTTTGGATGGTGCTTGTTATTCCAACGTTTCTGTTGCGATCAATCTCCACACCATTGAGTTCATATCGAATTTCATGAAACATAAAGGCGACACAATTGTTTCCGAGGTGTGCTTCCACTCCTTCCTTTGGTTTCTTTACTCTGAATCTTCCTTCAACGTATGGAAAGCTCTCGTATGGTAACGTGTATAAATCCTGCTGTTGTATAGGTATTCGTATCTCATCGTTGTGCTCAAACGTTGTGTTGGCGTATGGGTTGTATGTGTAAGTCTCAATCTTGGCGATGCTGTCGTCAAAGATCGGTTCATTCCCAATGTTCAAGATATTAGCCATTTCGTACAACGAAACCCAACGATTTCAGAAATTCAGCATTCGATGCAGTCAGCTTTGCAGGTGATCGAATTATCTTTTCACCCAATGGTTTTAGACCGCCAATATTCGATACAGTGAGTTTCACAGGCGATCGAATTGTTTTCTCTTTGTTTTCACGTGTCGTCTGCTCCGCTTCGTTCAATACAAGCATCTCCCAATACGACCGTTGTCTCCGTACATGCAGTCGAACGGTGATCTGCACCCCTCGAAAATCTAACAATTGACCGTCTTGATCCACGACGCGAATCGTCAAATCCGAAATGCTTCGTGCAGTAATCGGAAGGTAAATGATCTGTGTCGGTCTTTCCGATATCTTATATCCAGGTGGAACGGTAGGAGAAAACTCGTGTATCGTGAGCACGCTCTTGTTATTGCTGTAAGCTCCAGCCGTCACGGAAGGAGAAACGGGAGGATACCGCCACGCTTTGCTATCGGTAGAACTCGCTCCCCCTTGTTCTTCTTACTACGATTCTTTTTCTTCTTGAGCCCCATTCCAAGCTTCGTCTTAGCTTTCATCGCAGTCCAGCTGCGATGTCGCTTTTTCGCCGAATGTAGCGTCCTTCGCAGTTATGCGCTGGCGTGCTCGATCAGCTAAAATTCGATCTGCCTCGTGACGATTGGTCAAATCTTTGTTTCGAGAGTACGCAATATCATGTTCTCTACAAGCTGCATCCAACGGATTTATACCTCGATCGCCGCGTGCTAAACGTTTGTCCAGGCGTGTACCCGGTCCGCAAAATTGATACCCTGGTACGTGTAGCTCAAACGGTAATTTGTTTATTAGAGTATTTACAAGTCCTGCTCCTGTCCTTCTACGCATAGGTAACAATCTTTTTTCATAGGCGTTGGTCCGTCTATGTGCGTACGTTGATCTGGACGATTGTAATGCAAGAGACACCTACGATAAGACTGGACTTCAGGATCAGCTCTTATATGTTTCGGCAGTTTATCCCACGCGTAATGAATGTCGCTAGCGAACCGATTCAAGAGTACTATCTTTGGCACGTATTCCAATTGCTCCACAGTCAAGTCGAACAGTGTATCACCATCGATCAGTATGAAAGCCATTTCTACACTGGCTGATACGTCTGGATCACGCTAGTATAAATACCCCCCAACATCGACATATATCTTTTCTTTCATTTTTTACCACAGCAACGATGCGGTTCGTGCGCCAATCATCTGCGATTAGAGTGACTAATGTAGACAAAAAGGCGCAGTCTGAGAAAGAGGTACGCAAACATGGAAATATGCTACCGACCTCTATACGTGGTATCGTCTGCGGCCCATCGAATTGCAGCAAAACGAACGTGCTGATTAGTTTGTTAGAAAGTCCGCACGGTGTTCGCTTCGAAAACGTATACGTGTACTCGAAATCATTGCAACAACCAAAATATCGATACCTAAAAAATATATTCTCGTCGATAGACGAAATTGGTTAGTTCACATTTTCGAATAACAGCGACGTCGTTCCACCGAGCGAGGCACTTCCAAATTCGATTTTTATCTTTGACTACGTGGCATGCGATAAGCAAAACGCGGTAAGAGAATACTTTGCAATGGGTAGGCACTCGAACGTTGACTGTTTCTATCTTTGTCAGACATATGCGAAGATACCGAAACATCTGATACGCGACAACGCGAACGTGCTGATCATGTTCAAACAAGATGGTACAAATCTGAAGCATGTATACAACGATCATGTAAACACTGACATGTCTTTTGAGAATTTCTACAAATTGTGTACCGCTTACTGGCAAGAAAAGTATGGATTTGTAGTGATTGACAAAGACAGTGCTTTATGGAATAGTCGCTATAGAAAAGGATTTAATGACTTTGCAATATCGTAACACGTCCAGTTATCTCCGATACGTTGAGAAAGCAGTGTTCCAACATGAGCAGTAACAGCGTTGAAAATCGTGAGACGATAGCGAAACAGATTGCAACAACGAGCGATTTGATTCCCAGAAAGTATCGTGAATTGAAAACTGGTAAAATTGACAAAGAGATTGCGTTGGAAAAACACTTTAAACCTGTTACTGAACCACTGAAGACAATTGTCAGCAACACGTTAAGAAATTATGATCTACACAATAACACAGATATCGGAAGCGAACCATTATCCACTCCGAATATCAAGGAATCGGATAAAATACAATCAAATTTGTGGTTAAATTTCTCGAAACCGCCAAATATAAAAAAATCAAGATTAAGCAGTTTATCCGATATGAACCTGATAGCCTCTACTCCGACCTCTACACCAATTAAGACAGTACCAACAACAACAAATCGCTTAGCAAACGAAGATGTTTTTGAAAGTCCAAACAGCTATTTCTCAACATCTGTTCGAAGCCAATTGCAAACGCCGAAAGGCGAAGAAACGGTACGTAATCATCTGACAACGAGTGCACATAAGCACAAGCACAATTCGTATGGTCAAACATTAGGCAACAGAGGATACAAGTATAACCATGTAATCAAACCTTTATTGCAAGATAAAAAAGTTGGAAGAGGCATACCGTGTTCCATGAGATTAACCAAAAACAGCATTGATTACGTTCACTGGAACGATCCCAACGAACTCGTAGATCGGCTTCGATTGCTCGAGGCTTCGTGTCAAGCCGGTCACAATGCTCACGACAATGAGATGCTATCAATTATCAAGGAACTTCGTGAAGTAGAATTCATTATAAATTAAGCTGCACCTTGACGATACAGTCAATCGTCATTAAAATGTCAATCAACAAGTTTGGGTCATCGATTGGAAGAATGGAATCATACTATCACTGGAATGGAGTAGTCAGAAATTATGTACGCGACAACGCTCTTTGTGTTGTTGGCACCAATTATGACGCAAAGTCGCGCAGGATTCGACGGGTAGCACCGCCTGTAGAGGATGGTGATGCTATCAACAAGCTGTACTTGCACGAAAACATGGCAGTTATAAAAAGTCGACAAGACGTATTCGACAAAAAGGTGATTATGTTTCAAAATTTCGTTCAGAGCTGGAAAGATGAGCTGAATAAATTAGAGAGGGATATTACCGAATTCCGAAATCTAATGCAGACGCATCAATAGCTGGACATGAAGACTATTTACCGACCGACATACCGGTCAACAGACCGGTCAACCGACCGACCGATCGAACGACCAACCGTTGCGTTGAGCACCGATTTGATATTTGATAAAACGTGTACGTCAAGTCTTTGCGTCAGTGTCGAGTCATAGATGGCTGCGAAGAAAACTCCCAGTAACGAGAAACGGCGTTTCGTGGAAGAATTGCATGCTCCGGCGAGAAGAAATTTTCCCCGAAGACGCGTCATAGTACATGGGTACGACGACTTATGGCAAACGGACGTGGTCGAGATGCGACCTTACGCGCGGTATAACAGAGGCTTCCATTACATACTCACTGTTATCGATGTGCTGAGTAAGCATGAATGGGCCATACCCCTCAAAACCAAGAGTGGAAATAAAGTTTCTACAGCGATCGGAAAGATAATCCGAAACAGTGTAAGGTATCCGAAAAATTTGCAAACCGACAAAGGAAAGGAATTTTACAACGCAAATGTACAAAAACTTTTATCAAAATACAACATAAATCATTATTCAACGTATTCAGTGATGAAAGCGTCAGTCGTCGAGCGGTTCAATCGTACGCTTAAAAATGACATGTGGAAACTGTTTACGCTTAATGAAAGTTATAAATGGATCGAATCGCTGCAGCAACTCATATCAAATTAGAACGCGCGTAAGCATCGAACTATCGGCATGCGACCAATTGACGTTACACCAACAAATGCCTTGAAGCTCTTAACAACGGTTTATAATCACGTAAAGATTGCCGCTCCCGCACAATTCAGAGTGGGAGATGCGGTACGTGTGAGCAAATTCAAAACAATTTTTGAAAAAAGTTACACACCTAATTGGGGTACTGAAATATTTACGATCGCCGAGATTCAGAAAACTAATCCCGCAACGTATCTGCTAAAAGATGTTTATGGAAAACCAATTGCTGGAGGATTCTATGAACACGAGTTGCAATGCGTTGCCGACACTGATGTGTACCTTGTGGAAGTGTTACGTCGGAAAGGAAATAAGGTGTACGTGAAATGGTTAGGATTGAATAGTGCACACAATTCATGGATAAATAAAGATAATTTATTGTAAAACATTACCATATTTTAAATTAAATATTCAGTTTCATACATATACTAGCATTATTAGTTATATTACAGTGTTTTTATTTACAACTAAATATATATGTACATCTATTAAAATCGAGGTAAAAATGATTTACAAAATACATATACTGATATATCTAAAGCGGTATTTTATGACCCCACGATATACCGCTTATCGTCGTACGGACTCAGAGCGATTTTTGATTCCGCCATTGTGTATACTTTGTGTAATTGTGATCTTATACATGTCTGATTACAAATCATTTCCTGGAAACAACGTTACTTTTTACACCTTTCGCCTTTTTCGTATCTTTTTTACCATCTACACGCAGTGCATACATTTTCGCTCGGAGTCCAACAAATTCTATCATTATTGCCCCATTGTTTTCATCTTTCATCAAACCGGGGACTTTTTTGTTTACAAGCGATATATCGTAAACGTTCCCTACCGGATAATCGCTGGTATCAAATCGATTAATATCGCGTTTTATAGTATCATAAATATTCTCGCACTCGATGTGGTAAATTAAACTATCTGTATCGGTGTACATAACTTTACATTTATCGCCATGGGTAACATGTAATCGTGATGGAATTCATACAAACAAACCTTAGATGTATCTAGTATACACATACCCACATAGATTGGTTTGTTGAACTTCACCGCAAGCTTTCGCAGTTCGATGGCAACTAAGTTTTCCGAAAACACGCTACGGCTGTGGAAATTTGGTTTTGCGATCATTGCCTCCGCACCATATCTCCCTTCCCATTTTGTTACTAATTTTACATCGACGTGATTGCGTACATTCTCCATAGTTTTGCCAAATACCGCATTGTTCATCAATTTATACAAATTCTTTCCAAAATCGTTTGTAGCGAGAGTTCTAAACTTTGTATTTAGTTCGATGTAATCGCGGAGCCAGGGTGATTGTGCGAATTGGAGGACGCAGTGTATCTTTGTAATACGAATACCATGTCGCGTGCATTGCTGCAGGTTACGATAGTGGATAACGTAGCGCTGCTTATCGTATAGAGTTGCGAGCAGCTTGTCCTCTCTTTTGCCAGATGGTTTGGCACGTGTGGGACAGAACGGCAGGTCCGCGTGAATGTCGTGCAAACGTTGCGGATATTCTAGATCAACCTCTAGAATATAACCCGTGGGTGAATTGGCAGCAATCGAAGACACGTCAAAGTTTGCGACGTTGTCGACCCATCGAAGTTCTGCATATGGCAATGGTTGACACATTGCCCACCCATACAGATTATTCACATCAAAGTACATCAAATACGACGATGCTTTCGATGGATCGTACGACTGACTTAATCCGCCGCGTATACCGCGTTCGATAAACAGGACCATGTCGATATCTGTTAGTAATTTGAAATTAACTTTTGTATGTTTCAGCATGGCATCCCACGTAAAAGCGGGCAGAGTGTAATAATACGTGGGATCGAATCCGTAACTTGTAATACAGCTTTTACGAACATTTTCAAAAATATCCGCCAACAGCAAGACATCTGTTTTCAAATACAAATCGCTATACTCGCCCAGCGTTTGAATGGAAAACCGTGTCCACACGTTCTCGGCGTGCGCATACTCGCTCTCCGATACTGTATCGCCCGTCAAGAAACTGTTAAATGATTCGCGCGATGGCAAATATGATTGTTCCAACTTTTCGGCACAGTCAATGTACTCGTACGGAAAACACCCTTTCGCGTCAATAATTCGAAATCTTTGGTAGACAAATTTTAAAACTCGGTTCGTAAAATTCTTAATTTTCTTTTATCTAAGAAAGACGTTAATATATCGAAACTGGTACTCAAGAATTTGTATGAATCGATGAATCTCAATTTTATACAATTTCGCGACGGTCCATTTGGATCTTTGACACTTTTTGTGAACGAGATGTACTTTTCTTTTGTTATCGGCAATACACTGACGGCACCCTCGAAAGCTATAGCTATTTCTTCGATAATAAAATGCGAATCGTAACCGGACAAATTATGAAAAACTATGGGAAAGCAAAAAGAGTTTTTATAATTTAGATTACAATTGGAGTGCGCGGGACCTCTGTACCGACCGTTTTTCACAAATGTGACAATGCGTCGCGTTGCGAAATGCCTCCTGCTGTTCGCTCGTTAAATCATCCATTTGTATGTTAATTGATAAAATTGATTTAACAAAATGTGCCAAATTCTTTAATTCTTCGACGAAGCAGGGGACACAATTCGCATAACGACGACATTGGTACACCGACAAGGATGAATCGTACGAGCATTGAACATAATATGCATACTAAATACTTTATGATGTTGATATGTGGATCTTGGTGCTTCTCGTTCAGTTTTCTCCAGAATGCACTCGAGGTCGGCGTACACCACAAATGGAAGTCGCTCTTTCCGGATGTAGTTGTCGAAGCTGAGACACTTGCTTTCATCATCTGGTAATACGATTGCGCATTCGTTCATCTTCCGCAATCTACGGTGTGAGCTTTCAGCTTCTCACTCGAACTATAGTAGTCCAAGCATCTGCAATAAAAAGACAATTTTTTTTCAAACATAACATATTTAAAAAAGAAAAAAGAATTATTATATACATACCTATCACAAAAGTATTTTCTGCGTTTATGTTTACTCAATTGTGAGCTCACGAGGCGGACAAGTTTTTGATCCACGCGAAATGTCCCACGCCGTTTGTTCCTTCTAAATACAGCAAATTGACATGTCTCTCCATCTTCCGTGTGGCGAGCCGTATCGGTAGAACCTTCTTTTCTTCAGTGGTGTAGACGTTAATGGAGATGCTGTTGGCGCGTTCAAACTTTTTAATTTGGTTCAATGTCATTGGAAATTCGATATCCTGGATATTCAACACCGTTGAATAATGAGGATATACCGATGCCCGACATGCGTTCTTTTCGGTTGGATGCAGAGCAGCCACTACTGACCACGCGAAACATGCATTGTCGTTCGAGCATACGTAGATTACAGCTCTCTTTAGTTGTATTTCTCGTAGTAATTGTATGGTACATCCAGCATGCAGCGGCATATATTTATTCACGTTATCCCATTTATCCCGTTCTTGAAATTCTTCCAGCGATGCTAGGGTGGGTTCGACGACGCGTTGCACGTACCACTCTTCGAGATTAATCTCGCAAAAGATTTCACAGTTCTTTGTGCTGATAGTCTTGTTCGAGCGTTTATCACACGCTACAAACTCCCCATTAAACGCGGTATTCACTTTTAGTGTCTTATGTTTCACCAATGCACCCCATATATGCTCGAGCACAACGTCTCCCGCATCCTAAAGAAAGTTACGTGGTTCGATGTAGTGCGAATTTAAAACAGCGCCGGTTAATAAGCGGCTCTCGAACGCAGTGTCTACACTGACGGACAAAATTAAAGGAACACTTTTTTAAAACGTCATATCTATGTATGGTCTCACCACGTACGGCTGCAGGCCCTCGCTCCACTTCTGCATGCCGGCTCCGTCCGGCGCACTTAATACTCTTTCAAATCTACTCCGATTTGACAATGAAAGCGTGATTCAAAATATCCGAATTTTGTGGGGACCTGTTAATAAAGCATTCCCGCGTCCGATTCCATGAACGGCGTTGACGTGGGGCTACTCATTTACCTGGTACACAGGCCTAAATTCGCGGGTGGGTTTTCCAAAAAAAACGTCATTTTCGTATTTTAATGTTGTCCACGCGGGGAAAAGACATCAAAACTGTGTCACTCCAATGCCTTGGACTGTATCACATGTGTTCCACGCAACGAAACATCGTTCCAACCCCTAAACCTGTGGGTGGACCACCCCTAACTCTGGGCCACCCTGTTCAGCTTCAGGGGCAGTTTTCGAAACGAGCTTTAAGTGACATTGATCCTTAACGTACCGAGAATAAACATGGTGAATTTCATCGCCCTTCGAGGTGCGAAAGTGCTCCCTTACGAAGGGTGTTGAAAAGTGGAGAACTGTTCCATCCTTCGAAGGGGTGCCTATGGGGCGCACGGCGTGGGCGTTGGCATTTCCTGGATCAAGAGATTCCAGGGAATGCATTGAGCCCAAATTCGGGACTGAAGTCCAAAAATTGTGGATTTTGGAGGGGGTAGGGTGTTGTGAGGGGTGGTTTGCAGAGAGGGATTTTGAGGGGTGCATTTTGTTGAGGGCATCGAGGAGGGTCGCCCCAAAGGTTTTTTTGATTCTTTCAACCCCTTCCGTCACCCCTGGCCTCTTCAGAAGTGGCGTTTTTCGACGTGCCCCTCTTTATGGGGGTGACTTAACCCCCTCCTGTCAACCCTAGCCAATGCAACTTTGCGCACATTTAGAGGATGCTTCAAAACTACTCCTCGCGAAGTTTCTCCAATATCGGTTGAAAACTCCCATAGATATGACATTTTAAAAAAGTGTCCCTTTAATTTTGTCCGTCAGTGTATTTCACGCCACAAGAGTCCAGTGCTTGAATGGCCGGCACCTTCGTACACGAAACGTCTGCGCAACGAATACTTTAGACTATCGAGACGCGCGACACGAGCGATCAACGATTGTTGAACGCCGATCGATAATCGAGGGCGTTTTACTCGACTATGTTCTTCCAGCGACTCGAGGCACTGGTTACATCGTTCTTCCCATGCGAGGTATTCTTCTTGCGAAGTCAATCGATCGGCCTGGTCCCACAATCGACTTTTCATTTCTAAGAGTTCTTCCATGGTTACACTCACTTCTTCGCTGGGGAGCCGTTACAGAACGGTTTGAATGCAGTTCAATCTGCAGCACAATTTTTATAGTCTAGGTCACGTGATTTTGTCACATGATATGCCCCTACTATGATGTCACTGTCTGCAGATTTTCATTATCCTCTCATATTCCGCATCGCTGTTTTCGTATGTTTTCCTGAGAACGTATATATATTTTTTGGAATTACACCACTGACGTATCAATTTATTAGAATGACTCAGCGATGATGAGGGTTTTATTACGTATAAAGA